CTTTCAGGTTGTTTAGGATTTTTTTTTAGAAACAGTCTTGCAGTGTCATTCTACCAGTTTTGTCATGTTTTTTTGTTTGTTTATTCTTCTATGTGTCTGATTATTCCCTAAGAAGCCCTGGAGGGTCAGTGGTTAGAGGACTCAGTTACTAATCAAAAGCCCAGTGGAGGAAGATGTGGAACTCTGCTTCCTTAGACGTGCACCTGGGGAACCCCATTTCCACTCTGTCCTACAGGTCACTGGGAGTCAGAGTTAACTTGGTGGCAGTGGGATTGGGATCACTCCCTTGGGATCAATTCCTGGGTCCAGACTTGCTTAGTCAAAATGGACACAAACTTGGGAATGATGTGGCCCAATGGTTAAGTGCTTGTCTGCTAATCAAAAAGTTGGTGGTTTGAACATGCCCAGTGGCTTCCCAGGAGAAAGGCCTGGTGATTTGCTTTCACAAAGATTAAGCGAAAAAACTCATTGCTGGCAAGTCAGAACTGACTCATAGCTGACCCTCTGTTGGATTTCTGTGGCTTTAAGTCTCATGAAAGGGGATTATATATCTTTCTCTCAAAGAACTGCTGGTGGATTTTGAGAAGGCTGATAAACTCCATTTTATGAGCACTCATTCCATTTGAGTAACCAAACCCTGTGTGTGGAAAATTCCTGTCTCAAGCCCTCAAGTTTTGTCTTGACCCATTTCCTGAAATAGTAGTTGCTATTGTTTATGCAAATGTTTTGCATTGTACCCTTGATAAACTCAAGATGTAAACGTTTCTCACTGTACCTGTGACTACATCACTGTATCCTTAGAAACAACAGGATTAACAGCAGGATTTTGTAGCGTGGGCCCACGGAGCCCAGCATCTGGGGGTTGGGGGGCGTAAGGACATAAAAGCACCTAGCTGAAGCTAGGGGAGGGGGGATCCTGCCATGTTGCTGGGACCCCCGCTGTGCAGTGAATGAAAGACCTCACTTATAATCCTTCTAATTCATTGGACACAACAATGTGAACCAGCAAAGAGGCACCACTTTAGGGTTGGCAGTGAAGCTTCTCAAAGGGCTAAGCCAGCAAACTTTATGGGAACGGTTTCACTTGATTTGATAGCTTCTAACAAGAACAACATAATGGATATATATTTTCTTTATACAAAAAAAAAATTTGATCCCTTTTGTGAGAGAAAATGCATGCCAAATAGTACCTAGGACTGGTTTCTGACAGGAAAGAGCTCCTATGAGTGTATCAAGACACACATTCATATTCACACACGTGCCCACACATCTTTCCCACACCTCTGTGAAACAGAAAACTCCATGCATGTTGGATCTCTCTTGTTCCACAAGGGAGACCGCTCCTCCGTTGTGGACACAGTGGCTGCAGCTCCGGGCCCCATAAACAGATGGCAGCTGTGGGCGCCGAAGGCCCTCTTCCTTCTAAATTCCCTCAGCCCCGAGGCCTCTGTCCTCTTGGTGGTCTTCAGTGGGCACATGGCTCCTGCTGTCCCAGGCTGGGGCTTCAAGGTGCCCACTGTGGCCGACCTGGGCAGTGCACCCAGCTGAGAAGCCTGGGAGGTGTTTATTCTGATCTGATCATAACATTTTCAAAGTAACGATGGCAGGCAGGCTGCCTGTAAGGGTGTGGGTGAGGTGGGACGTAAAACCAGATGCCCCTGACTCCAACTCATGTGACCTCACATGTGTCAGAACTGAACTGTGCTCTGGAGGGTCTTCATGGCTGTGTCCGTCCAGAAGCAAGTACAGGCACAACTTCCTTCTAAGGTGTTTCTGGGCACACTGGGACCTCCAACCTTTCCATTAGAGCCGAGTATGTTAGCTGTTGGCATCTCTCAGTGAAGTATAGTTGGCGGGGAATGCTGGGTACGCCTCTGGGGAGACCTACCCCTGCACACCTCCAGCACCATCTGGTTTCTGAGTGGTGGCGTGAGGAGAGCTCCCCAGAGACTGAGTTCTTACTGAATAATGGGGTGGAGAACGTGCAATGATAGCACTCAAATTTTGGGAATGAAACTAAGACATATTAAGAACACTCCAGTGTTCACACTTAGGCTGCCTCTTCCTCGGAACTTGCTCAAGCTTGTCAGGCCTGAACAACAAACATTGTCAGTGACTGCTGCTGGCTGCCACAGAGCTGACCCAGACCTCAGTGTCATTGGTGATCCCTGCTCCTGCGGATGGACTTGACCGGGGCTGCAGGAGTATCTGTGAGCTCGGCTGGTGGCCACAGGGAGCCCATCATCATTGGTGACCTCTGTTGATGCAGACAGGGGCTCAGCGTCAGTGACCTCCCCCGACTGCTGTCCACTCCTACTGGCCAGGCAAAGAGCACCTGTTGTGAGAACAAAACTATATTTTGGTCACAATTCTCTTCATGTTTGAGACTATCTTGTTATTTTTACTTGAAGTTGTCAAAAAATTGATCCAAATTGGCCCATTTTTAATTACATGGATGTGTCACTGGTGTCACCTGTGGTGGGTGCTACGTGAAATCCAAAGAGAAGAGGAGAACAAACATTGTTTAGGACAAATCTGTTGAGGTGGTTGCATAGAAAGGGGCAGGGAGAAAACCGAGTAAGCCAGAATTGACACAGTGAGAGATTTGAGGCGGGTGTCTGCATTCTGCTTTCTGTGTGTGTGTGTGTGTGTGTGTGCGCGCGCGCGTGTGTGTGTGTGTGTGTGTGTGTGTGTGTGTCCCTACACTGAGTACCACACTGGCCTCTGTGAGGTCTGTTCCACTTCTTGAATAGTCATAGAACCAGAGAGAACTTTTCAATAGGGACAGAAATCACCTTATGAGGTGATTCAGGTCAACCAATTTGCATAGAAATAAATGGACCATGTGCTAGACGCTATTGCTGGTGCGGAAGAAGACAGGACTTCAGAAGTGTTCAGGCTCATCCTCAGCTTATCTAGACAGCAGTGTCTTCTGTTCTGCAGCCAGTGCCTCCATTGTGACATTTAAATGTGTGGGTTCTTACCATTTCTTTGAATGCAGCCAAGACTTTAGCGAAAATTTGCGTTCTTACAGGAACCCTTGCAAACAACTTCTTGTAATGTGCTGAGACCTGAAGGCTGGTGAGAACCAGCACAGGGTGCCCTTCTCCCCAAGGAAGACAGAAGCAGCACAAGTCAACCTGCGCAATTGTGGGGACTCACTGGTCCTCCCCCACCTGTGTGAGGTCTCACCACCACCAGCAGCTGGCAGGAGAAGGGGAAATGGAGCAAGAGGGAAGAGTGAGAGGCAAAGAGAAGGTGAAATAAAAAATGAAAGCCCACGAGGCCCACAGAGCCACCCACGTGGAGCCTGGTGAGGCCTGGAAGATAGGGTTGGCCTTGGTAGCGGCTCTGCTGGACACCACATGCGATGACTGCAGAAGGGAGGGCCACCCCAGGGCCAGCAGTAGATCCGAGGCTATCCTTTCCTGGGATACAGCTCAGAAAGATCAGGAGACCTGATCCCTAGCCAGTAAATAAATGACCCTGTAATTGCAATGCCCATGTGTTGACTTGAGACATGCTAATAATGTGCACCGAGCCCTGGGCAGTGTTCAGTGAATGAGTGGACTCGAGTGGGAAGTAGCACTGTTGTGCAGACATGTAGCTCTAGAATGTGTGGCCACCCCCTGGCCAGGCAGCTACATGAGCTTCCTGCCTCCCACCAGCCCAGCTCCCAGTTCCTGCCTATGGAAGGGTCCTATGGAAGGGTGGTCCATGGGCCTCCAGGTTACCATCACGCTGAGGTGAGCACAGATGAGCATGAATTTACAAACTTCTGCAGTGACTTCACTGGAGTTCTGGTGGCACAGTCCACAGGGGGCTGTGCTGCTTACACAAAGATAGCACCTCTCTGGCAGTTCAAATCCACCAGCAGCCCTGCAGAAGAAAGATGGGCATCTCTTCCAACGCAGTGTACAGCCTCCAACACCCTACCGGAGGAGCAGCTATGAGTTACTTCCCACCTGGTGGCAGTGAATTTGAGTTTATAGCAAATTGACAGATTTTATGTCCTTTGACTCTAACAGCAAAGGAACCCAGAACTCATCTCTTTTAAATCATTAAAGACAAGGAGCCTTAGAGCCAAACTTGACCCTTACGGTCCCCAACTTCTTGTGCTGGGCCTGCAGACTCTAGGGAGTTGGTGTCATGTCCCAGGACCCTGAACCTCTTCAGGCAACAGGGCTCAGGGATCCACAAAAACACGTGCAAATGGTTTCTGCTCAGCACAGACAAGTACCATTTAGCAGGGATGGGATGTGAAGTAAGGTCCGTGGGTGGTGCCAACAATTTGCACTGGTGGCACAGTGCAAATGTGTTGAGCTGCTCACCAGAATACCAACTGCTCTGCAGGACAGTAAGTGATGGGCGATCTCCTCCCGTAAAAATTTACAGCCTTACGAACCAATGCAGGGTCTTTATGAGTCAAAATCAACTTGGCAGCAACGAATAAGACTGAGCTAAAGGTTGTAGTTGTTGTTATGTGCCATCAAGTCGCTTGTGACTCACAGTGACCCTATGTATAAGAGCCCTAAAAGCCGCTCTATCCTGTGCCAACCTCGCTGAGCTAAAGGTTAAGATTCCCAATTAAGATCCCAGCGGCACTGTGGAAGAAATCCCAGTGATCTGCCTTCATTAACATTACAGCCCAGAAAAGCCTAGGAAGAAGATCTATTCTGGAAGGCATGAGGTTGCTGTAAGTCAAAATTGACTTGATGGCTGTGAGCTTTTGGTGTGAGGTTTTTTTACTGGGGAGGGGAGAGAGGAGATGAGGTTATGAATCATATCCAATTTATGTTGTGTTAAAATACAGAAGAACAGAGCATACTTGGTGTCGAACAAATCAAGGAAGCAAGTGAGAGAGGATACAGGCAGTTTTTCTTCAGCCAAACTGGTCTGTAAACAGTTTTCATTCATAGTATTTATCGTCTATTCCCTGAAGTATGAGCCACTTTAGCAAACCCCTCCATTCTGTGGGTGGTGTTGTCTGAGAGTTTGCCCTAGAGCACTGGTGCCTGGAGCAGCCCAGAATTCAGCAGGGAGGGAAAGGGGAAGGTGTGGGATCTTAGCACCAGCCCAGGAGGCAGGCTGGGAAGCTGGGCCTCTACACCTGAGCTGCCCACCGTGAAAGGTCCCACCTGGAAGGCCTCTGGCAACCTAGAGTCGGATGGCAGAGGCACGTGCGGGACACTCCCAGCATACTTCCAGTGGAAGTGTGATACCTGCTAGAGTATGCAATTCAGACTCATCCCACCTACCCGTGCTGGGCTGCTGAGCCATCCACGCCCACAGCTGCCACCAGCTGCTCACTGGTGATGCAGCTGCTTTCTCTCTTCGTGCCAGCCGAGGCTGTGTCTACCAAGACATGAGATTCCTCTCTCTATACAGCTCAGCTCCCTGGCTCATTTCTCACCCATAAACTGTTGCCAATGGACCAATAGGCAACCTCTTGATAGAAGGAAAATTGAAGTTGTTGATGCCTTACTTGGATCCACAATCAATATGCATCCTAACAGCAGTCAAGAAATCAAGACATGTTGCATTGGGAAGATCTGTTGTCCAGGACCCTCCAAAGTGCTACAAAACAAGGGTGTCTCTGATCCAAGTCACAGTATTTTTTTTTCCTAAGTCTCCTTTTATATAATAAAAATGTCTTTGCCTCTTGCAGTGCCCCATGTTCTGAAATCTAGTTGGTTGCGGGGGCGGGGTGTGTTTGTGTGTGTAAATCATCCTTTCTTTTGATTAATGTTACACATTCTTTTCCATCCTTTTCCTTTTAACTTATCTGGGTTTCTTTCACACATCATGTAAGAATCCTCTTTTCCTACCCAATATTACTGTCTCTGTCTTTTAAATGGACTTCAGGGCAACTTATAATGTGACCACTAAAACATAAAGCCAAACCCACTGCTGTGCATCAGTTCCAACTCCTGATGACCCTCCAGTGGGGTCAACTCAACTCATTGTAACTGACCTGGAATAGATTTATAGCTGGTCCTCCACTGGGTTTCCATAGTGGGTCGTCATATTTTCAATTACTTCCTGTGCATCTTAAAGGTAGACAACGAATGAGAGGAAAATAGTCAGTGCCTTTGAATGGCGCTGTTGGTTAAGAATGCTGACTGTCCCATGGTCTGTCAAAATAATAAACAGTATATCTTGGAGGAAGTGCAAGCAGACTGCTCCTTAAGGCAAGGATGGTGAAACTGCATCTCACATCCTTTTTTTGGCACATTGTCAGGAGAGGTCGGTTCTTGGGAAAAGACATCATGTTTGGAAAGTGGAGGGTCAGAGAAAGAGAGAAAGACCCGTCACAAGATTAACTGACACAGTGACTGGGTTAGTGCATATCTGAGATTATGAGGCGGGCACAGGAGAGAGCAGGGTTCAGATCCATTGTTCATAGGGTTGCTATGAGCCCACCTGATTGCACACAGGAATACAACAAAGTATGGTCTGTGAGCCACGAGGCTACAGTCTACACTGAGACGAGCACAGCCAGCATTTAAAGTCAGCATTTACAAACTTCTTTAGCAATTTGATGGAGATTTTATATCCTATGAATCTAAGAGTGAAATATTAGAGATTGTAATTTTTTATGCTTTAGTCATTGACTTATTCACCTAGTAATTCACTTCTAGTCATTTATCTTTATTACCTTTCTCAAATCAGTGAGTGGAAGGAGGGCCTGGCTCTGGCTCCCAGTCAGGCTGAAAAGAGAAATCAACAGCCTCCTATCAAGAAGGGACGAAGGCTGCTCCGCATCTGGGCACAAGGAAGGGGCTGAAGCTGCCGAGTGGTTTCTATTAAGACAGCTCCCTGGAGTGGCCTTCCTGTCCTCTGTGATGGGGAAGCTGGGATCCCATCGTTGGCTCTTTCCACAGGCCATGTCTCAGTGTGCATTTCAAACACCCGGGACATTCTTGCTGATGTGGGCAGGACCCTCTCAGGGCTGTGCACATTTATGAGCTCAGAGCTGCATTTCCATTGGAATGCCAGCATGCAGCTCCCAGTTGGCTGTGTGCAGAGAGAAGTGAGCTCAGCTAGGCTCTGGATAAAATTAAGACATTTGTATATTGAAATCATATATGCTTCCTCTCAACAGTTATGATGAAATCTTCCATTTATGGACTGAAGATGTAAGTGTTCTGACTCAACTGTTGGCTAAAACTATTGTTGCTAGCTGCCAGCCAGCAAGTCAGCTCTAGACGTGGGGTGATCCCATGCATACAGAATGGAAGTATTCTATAGGGTTCACACAGGACATGTGAGCACTGGACAAGGAATAAGGAAAACCACAGAAGTGATGCTTTGGAGTTGTGGTGTTGCAAAAAATATTGACTATGCCATGGATTGACAAAAGAACAAACAAATCTGTCTTGAAAAGACATGAAGCCAAAGTGGTCCTTATAAGAAGCAAGAAAGGTGAGACTTCATCACACATACTTTGGGCCTGCAGTCAGGAGGACTAATCCTTGGGAAAAAGCAGCACGCTTAGAAAAGTGGAACATCAGCGGAACAGGAAGGTTTGTCACCAAGACGGATGGATACAGTGGCTGCAACAATGGACTTAAGCACAGCAGAAATTTTGAGGACACCACAGGATTGAACAAGGTTTCAAATTGTTCTACGTAAGGTGACTATGAGTTAGGAGTTGTCTCAATAGCACTGAACCCCCTTCGCAAAGCAGATTGCCCATGCCACTCACTCACTCATTGCTGTCGAGTCTGAACTGACTCATAGCACACCCATTTGACTTCTGAGACTGTAAATCACACAGGAGGAAACTGCCCATCTTTCTCCCCTACAGCCATTTGTGGATTTGAACTGCCAGAGAGGTGTGGTCTTTGAGTTGGTGGCACAACTCTCTGTGGACTAAGCCATCAGTGTTATTTTTGTTGTTGTTATGTGCCATCGAGTTGACAATGACTCATAGTGACCCTGGGAACAGCAGCTCTGAACGCTGCCCTCTCCTGGGCCAATCTGTCTCCAACATACCTGCCTCCATTACCTACCACAGTTACTGTGTCAATCCATCTCATCCAGGGTCTTCCTCTCCTGCACTATCCCTCCACCCTTCCAAACATGATGTCTTTTTCCAAAGACTGGTCCTTCTTGGCAACATGCCCAAAGTAAGTATATGTGAGATGGGGCTTCAAACTCCTTGCTGCCAAGGAACAGTCTGGTTTTACCTTCTCCAGGACATACTTGTTTGTCCTCTTTGCAGTCCCTAGTGCACTCAGTAGTCTTCTCCAACATCACAGCTCAAAGACATCAATTCTTCTGTCATCCTTAGTCATTATCCAGCATAGCAAGTAACTACAAGACCACGGCTTGGAGATGTCAGTCTCCAGACTGACACAGCATTCTGCAGAGATCCCTAACAGAGAGCCGGAATTCTACAAGACTGCCTCATTTGGGGATCTGACAAATTGTTGGCCTTTGCAGTCTTAACCACTTTCCTGTGGCTCTCCACGGGGGGAAAACAGTTAAGTTTTCTTTCTCTAGTAAGTTTGTGTCCTACAGAGGTTTCATCTTTCATAAGCTTTTCTGTAGCACATTTTTTTTCCACTTTAGTGAAAAAATAAGAGGTGTACCTAGTGAATGGTAGGTAAGCCATTGCAAGAGTTAAAATGAAAAAGAAAGAAAAAAATGGGGAAAGATTTCTGGAGAGACAGGGTTGAAACCAAACCATACACAGCATCCTGTCAGCAGGAGAGAAAGCAAGCAATCCTCAGGTGGGTACTGCTTATACTGACTCCCAATTTCATGAGACTGGGTCAATTTGTCAGACCCCCAACAAGGAAGTCCTGTAGAATTCCGGCTCTCTGTTAGTGAACTCCCTAGAATGCGGAAGAGCAGCGATGTCAGTCTAGAGGGTCATTTCCACCCTCATTTGATAGTATTTAACATAATGTTAAAACTGAACACCTAGGACAGGTAGGCTCAGCAGGCCACCGCAATACCTGAGAGGTGAGGAGACAGAAGTCCAGGGGGAGAGAAATTAAAAACTCAAGTTCATTGCTGTTGAGTCAAAACCGAATCCCGGCTGACCCTCCACACAAGAGGAGACTGCACATCTTTCTCCTGGGGAGCTGCTGGTGGGGGTTTCAAACTGCCAGAGAGGTGCTACTTCCTGCTTAGTCACTCAACTCCCTGGTGACTACACCACCAGAACTCTCTGGAGGAGGAAATGTGGATAAAAAAGAGCCAGGTTCAGATTGTGAGGTAATGCTGAAGAGGACACCCACAAAGGATGAGAGCAGGAGAGAAAAAAGAACTCTAAGAGCTGTGTTTTAATTGGTGGAGCTCCCCGATTAAAACAAGCCTGGAAGCACGAATGGCATCCACTTCCATAACAGCTTGCCTCTGGAAATCTATGAACCTGGAGAAAGGACAAAAGTTATACATGTGTCCAGGCCTTTCATTCATAAGGTCACTATGAGTAGCCTGCGACTCGACAGCATCTGAAAACAACAACCAGAGAGAGCTGTGTTTATCTGAGACATGCTCCTTGTTGTGTTGTTGTTATGTGCTGTCGAGTCGTTCGCAACTCATAGCAACCCCATGTACAACAGCCCTAAACCCTGCTCTATCCTGTGCCAATCGCATTGCCTCTAACACACCCATCCCGATTACCCCAGTCACTGAATCAATCCACCTCATAGAGGGCCTTCCCCTCCTGCGCTGTCCCTCTACTCTACCCAGCATGATGTCCCTCTCCAAGGACCTGCCTCTCCTTACAACATGTCCAAAGTATGTCAGACGAAGCCCCAGAATCCTTGCCTCCAAGGAGTAGCCTGGTTTAATCCTCTCCAGGATGAATCTGCTTAGACTCATGTTTAGACTATGTTTATCTGAGACACTCTACTTAGAGTTGAGGTGGCTTTTAATTTTAGTAGCAGAAAAGCGTTTAAATAACTTTTGTTTAGAAGAAAAGTATACTCTACCTTCAAAGAAATGCCTGGTGCTCTACTTCCTCCAAAATTAGGGGAAAACCCTGATGGAAAACCTGTGGAGAACAGTTCTGTGACACCCGTGAGGCTGCCCGGAGCTGCAGCCAATCTCACAGCAACTGGCCCTTTACCTAGTGGACAAGGGGCATATGGAGGAGGCTGCCTCCTTTGCCTTCTGTTCCCTATGGCCGTCTCTGGAGAGGTGGATGCCCCCCTCACCAAAGGGCAGCAAAGGGGGTGGCTTTTTTAGGCAAACAACATGCACCAAATTGTTCTTCAAGGACATTTAACTATTTACATATATATTAGCCATTCTGTTCCCATTGGTTTGGGATTTTTCTCCCTATCCTTATCTTTGCTCAAATACCTCTGAGCAAAATGGGCACCATGTAAACCTGGGGAAAGAGCCCATTTCTAAGAAGAAAGCCTTGAAGCCAGAACTCCACTGTACGATTTTCAAATGACCCGATTAAGTGTGCAACCTGTCACAGTGAAGGTTGAACTTTTCCACATTCTTTATAAATTGTACAATTTAGAAAACATCCAGCCGGCCGTGTCTGCAGCAGCCGGGGAGCGACCTTCTGAGTATTGGGGCCTTTTCCTGTCTCCTGGGAAGCTCAAATCCGTGAGCAACCACTGAGCATGCCCAGTCTGGGGAAATCCCAGAGCACACACTCTGCTCTGTAGTTCTCTTTTTATAGCTCAATGGGACGTGTGCAGAACAATCAACACTCTCTGAGCATTCAGCTGGAGGTTTTTTATTTTTTCCCAAACATTTATTTCAAAGGGCAGGTAAGGATTTTGCTAGGCCACAACCGCAAAAACAAACAGTCCGCAAACAGTTGCTATTTGTCTCAATAAATAATGAAATGCCATTTACAATTCCTAAGCTTCATATAATGTAATACATACTTTAAATAACTAATGTCCACTCTGCTGCTGTGTACCTAAAACCTGCTCCAGTGTGGACGCGTGTGTCTCAGAAACAGATCTGTGAGCCCGAGAGCCTGTGAGCTGCTCACCAGCCCGTCCTCACCCCGCGCCATGCCCCTCTGAGAGGGCTCAGGTGGGCACAGCTGTGTCTGGTGCTTCCCAGCATGCCTGGGTCCCATCGCCAGCCTGGGCTAATCCACTGGGCTGGGTTTGGGTCATTACAAAGCGATAGGAAACACTGGGAAGACCTGAAGGGTCTGTGTTCCATCTTGCTTTCTGAATCAGTAGTCGGCTTTTCTCTGTCATTTTTAAGACTGAGTTGTTATTTGCTTCATAACACCAACCTCTTGGCTGGCTGGTATTTTTTGTATGTGTTGCTTGTTTTAGGTGGCACGTTCATGGTCCCTGGAAGTAACAGACACGCTCGTGGTCAGGGCTCCTGCAGACACGTCCCTTTAAAATCCTATACCTAAATACCTGAGAGAGATGGGCGTGCGTCTAAGAACCCAGAGCATCACCATCGGTTTTCACCATCCGGTCGAGCAATGGAGTGAAACCCACTGTGAGGCACTTGGTTGTCAGAGCCTGTGTTTTCCTGGAGTGAGGAAAGTAGCCAGGCAACAGCCCCCACAAACGCTGCCCGACGCCCACACTGCTGTCCTTGGTGCTGTGCGTAGCTACAGTGGTACCAGGAATTCACACATCTGTGTTTCATCTTGGTACTTGTGCAAAATGCAATACATCACTCTTCTCAACCAGGAGCCTTTGTTTGACGCTTGTCTTGAATGATGGTTTGTAGAGGACAAGAGTGATGCAGTCAGTGTTCCTTAAACCTGAAAGACAGAACAAAAGAACAGCTGGTTAAACTGCTAGTCACTGTTACACAGCAGATGCTTAATTTCATACAAAATGCACACAGCCCAAGAGAGTATGTGTCTGTTTCCTTTCTCCAGGGCTTTTTCCAGAAGTGGAATTTGATGGTGCCACAGCTTAATTGTGGGCAAGGAGGGAGGAGGGAGAGGAAAGTTAGGGGCGGGTGGTGGGGTGAGGGGGGACAGAGGGGGTGGTGCAGGGAGCTGCCACTGCTGCAGGAAAGCTGCAGCTCAGCAAGGACAAAGGAGGCAATTTCCCTTCACGCCTTTTCAGTCAGATCTGGGGAGTGATTGCCAGGATCATGTACGCAAGAGGGGGGTTTCATTAGCAAAGAAAGAGAGGGCCTGCTATGAAAAGGAGGAGCACTGATTTTTCTTTGCTTTCTTGTTTTCAAGAAAAGCCAGGTGTGAAAGGCAGATAAGCCAGAGAGACAGTCTAAGGCTGTGCCTTAACCCCACGGCAGCAGAAACCAGCGATGAACTTACGGAACTTGGTCCCCCGTGGGAGTCCCCCCGCAGCTCAGCTCCTTGTGGATGAGGCGGATCAGGCACTGCACCCAGAACAGAGGGAGAGGAGGCAGTCAGTGCTGTGAGGCCCTGAGAGGTCCCGGAGCCCCAGAGCCCACCTTAGAGCTTGAAACACAGAGCAGATAGGAGTGCCAGAAACTCCTGTCTGCCTGTATCTGAAGCCTTGGCATAAGTCCAGATACTATCTTAAAACCCTTTCATTCTTTTCTCTGCACTGTGAGAACTGCCAGAGTAGCTAGAACACTTCCAGAATCACCAAGGACAAACAAAATCTCCTCCCCTGATTGTCAGAAACGATCTTTGATAAGGGAGCTCTGATGACCTAGTAGGTAAGGAGTCACACTGCCAACTCAAAGGCAGGAGGTTCGAATCCACTAGTTGCTCTGCAGGAGAAAGATGAGCAGTCCATGTTATTCACAGCCTCTGAAAGCCTGGAGGGTCAGCTATGCATTTATTCCTCCTCAGTGGTAAAGAGAGAGATACCTTTTATTCCTCAAACACTTTCTGGAAGTTTTCACCTTCTGTTTAAAATCGCTTTGCAATCTCTTCTAGAGTCTCTGTATCAATAAAGATCTTAACGACCAGTGGTCACCTTGTGTCAAAAAAAACTGTAAACTGTCAGTGTGAGTGTATAGTTCTTTAGCAATCCATAAGAAAGCAGAAACCTTAACTGATTTTCTGCATTAGGAATACTGTTCTATTTCTAGTAATCATTAGACTTTGGTAGCAATTGCTTTGATTGCAAACTCTATTTCCCACTTTCTTTTCCTCTTTACACAGTGCACTGAATTAAAAAATACTTTACTTTCCTACTTTGACTCTCATGGCGTTTTTTTTTCTTCTTTAAGACAGGACCCCTGCCTGTTGTCTTTGTTGTATCAAATCTGAACCGACCCATAACTGACTCTACCGTGGGTTTTCAGAAAAGTGATTTGCACGGGAGGAGACTGTCCATCCTTCTCCTGCAGAGCAGCTGATGGATTTAAACCTGCCCTTGGGTTGGCAGTGCAATTCCTTACCACTAGAGCTCCCTTGGTTGCCCGTAGGCCTGAATTATCCCCCTCCTCATACCTGACACAGTACATCTCTACCTCTTTATATATAATATTTGTATACATATATTTCTAAATATATATATAACAATAGCAAAGTTCAACAGAGCAGCAAACAACAAATACTGGCAAGGTTGTGGAGAAATTGGAATCCTTATTCGCTTTTGGTGGAGTGTAAAAATGCTACAGCCACTATAGATCACTTGATTGATAGATGATAGAGATAGAAAGACAGACAGACAGATAGATAGATCTATATGCTTTTCGTGGGAGAAGGATGGGCAGTCTTCTCTCATGCAATTATTGCCTCTGAAAACCTGCTAGGGGGCCAGCTATGGGTCAGTTACGACTTGATGATACACAACAACAACAGATGCTTTATCTGAAGAGGAACAGATAAATGAAAAAGCCTAAAATGGGAGACGTGGGCAGCTTCTTGTCAAGCGCTCAATTTGAGGTAGGGACGTTTTCTGGTAAACCAGTGAAGTTTCAAGGCCCCACTCCTGAATGTCAAGTACTGAAGATAGCTATCAGCAGCCTGAATTACTTCTGAATCAAGTAACAGTTAAAATAAAATTAGAGAGTAAAAGGTCCAACAAGGCAAAAGATGGAAAGCAGAGGAGGTGACACAAAGATTGTGGGAATGCTGGGATGACTGGAGAGTATGGGGTCACACTGGACCCTCGGAGGGCCTTCTCCCCAGCCTGGTGCTGGAGCTCAGTCAGAACGCACTCTGAGGAACAGCTGTCTTCACCAGGAGCCTCACGACGTCTCAAGCCTCCATTAACAGTGCCATTGGAGAGCTCAGCTGCCTGACCCTTGCACAAGCCCAGCCCCGCTCTCTTCTCAGCTCTGCTCCTGACCCAGCGCCTTCCCATCGTGGTTCTTTAAATGTTAAATGTTAAAAGGGCTGAAAGCCATTTAGAAGTCCAGAAGTGTCATGGAAAACGTAACTGGTTTTCTCTGCAGTTGAGAATACAGTCTAGTCTTTCCTCCAGTGTTACCCAGCCAGAGCGAGCAGACACATCGCTGAAGTAAGTGCTGCTACTTCTTAGACAGAAGCTCCCACTGACCAAGGATGGAGCACGGCCCCAAGATGTGGGTGGTCTGGCAGTAGAGGTGCTGGAGAAGAGTCTTCAGGGATACTTCCTATGTGTGTGTGTGTGTACACACACCACAAATGTGGGCTCATGTGTGCTTACGAGCACACAGCTCCACCATCAAGTCTCAGGCCAAAAACCAGAAAGGGGTACATTTTTGTTTTGTTAGATGATTCTTTTCAAGTAGGAGCTTAGTAACTTACATATAATTTGAGTCAGATTAAAAAGAACAGTTATCTCTACAGATAAAGTATACCTTTGCTTGATTTACTGCTCAGTTTTTATTGCTGTCACTGGAGTAAAGACAGTGGGAACATTTTAGATGCTGTAGACAGTACTGGCGACAAGAGAATAAAGGGCAGGAATAATTCTCTTAAATAATGTGATCACTGAATTTGAAACCGAAGCTCCAACTACTGCAATATGTTTGTTGAGTTTGATCCAGTACCTTACCAACACTCTGTGTTCCATCAAGGGCAATGTGCGCCAAGCGTTAGTAGAAAAAGGTCTGTGATTATGAAAAGTAGGTCAGTAAGAGAAATTGAAAAGAAGAAAACAATAAATGTTGTTCAGTATTGGGCCATCTGATTTGGTTCTACATTTAATATTGAATTTGTTTTTCATATTTTTCACCTCTGCATCTTTTTGTACTGCATTCTAGACAATTTCCTTGTATCTGAATTGTGTTCATGTGGAACTTGTACACTGACCAAGTAATTGTTTGAACAGAACAAGAGATACTGTTGTTGTTAAGTCACTGTTGTTGCTGTCAAGTCACCTGTGACTCATAGTAACTCTATGTACTACAGCCCTGAACCCTGCTCTATCCTGTGCCAACTTTACTGACTCTGACACACCTATCTCCATCACAGTCAGAGAGGGTCTTTCTCTCTTGTGCTGTCCCTCCACCCAAGCACGATGTCCCTCTCCAAGGACTGGTCCTTCCTTGCAACATGTTCAAAGTATGTCAGATGGAGCTTTAGAATCCTTGCCTCCAAGGAAAATCATGATAAAGGACAAAAGATTGAAGTTGCAAAGGATTTAATTTTACTTGGGTCCACAATAAACATCCATGGAAACTCAAATCGGCAAATCTACCAACAAGGATCATAGCAAAGGGAGAAAGGCAAAATGTCAGTTTAACAACTAACATGTGCTTGACCCAGGCCATGGTATTTTTAATTGCTTCAGACGAATGTGCAAGTTGGACAATAAACAAAGAATTCTGAAGATGTGATGCCTTTGAATTGTGGTGGTAGTGAAGAGTAGTGAATATCCTCGGACTGCCAAAAGAACAAATACATCTGTTTTCTACATCCCAAACATGCAGGGCTGATGAAACTGTAACTCACACGCTCTGGACATGTTATTTGAAGCGGTCAGTCCTTGGAAAAACGAAGAAATCAGTGAGGAAGAGCAAAACCCTCAATGAGATGGTCTGACACAGTGACTTCAACAATGGGCTTAAACACACTGTGAACTGTGAGGACAGTGCAGGATGGGACAAGGTTTTGTTATGTTGTACACAGCGTTTCTTGGACTTGGAGTTGACTGGATGATTTCTAAGAGCAACAATTTTCTACCAAGTTTTCTTGTTTGTTTTTTAAAACTGCGATTTGAGTAAATGTTCACAGAGCAACTGACTTTTCCATTCAAGCATACATACCTATTCTGTTTTATGCTATTAATTACAGTATTCACAATTGTTGCTATGATGTGTACCATCAAGTCGAAACCAACTCACGGCAGGTATTCTGAGGCTGACATTGCATGGGAAGAGATTGCTCATCTTTCTTCTTCAGGGAAGCTTATGGATTTAAACATTAATACCCATGAGCATTGTACTCCTCAGATAATCAACCATATGAAACCAAACGGGCAACGTCTGCCCCAAAACAAAGCTCAGAAGGAAAGAAGGATGAAAGGGAACATAGAATCTAGGATGGATATAGTAAAAGTGCTGTCACAGTGAAGAAACTGCAAGAAATATTGTAACAAAAAGTATGCATATATTACCAAATGGGAAACTGGTGTACTCTATTCTGTAAACTTTCACTCAACTGCAATACCATGTAAAACAAAACTAAAGGCCATGGGATATTTTTCCACATCTGGTGACCAACCTAGGATGGTCACAAGTCCTGTCACTTTCCTGTGTCAATGTGCAGATACGAGTTAGTACACCCTTGTACTGTAAGCAGGGAGCTCTGGTGGCCTAGTGAAAAAGGGGTTTCTCTGCCAACCCAAAGGTAGGCAGTTTGAATCCACCAGCTGCTCTGTATGAAAAAGATGAGCAACCTCCTCCCATGCAGTTTGAAAACCTGCTAGAGAAACTATAAGTCAGTTCTAACTACTAGAAACACTGTCCTTTAGTGTATTGGCTTCAGATCCAACTCCCCATCTACAGCCAGCCCAGCATCTCATTTCTTACTCCCTGCGGACAAAGCCATCTCGGTGCTAAATTCCTAAGTTTGATAACTCAGGGCTGCTCCTCTACCAACATGCGAACGAACTAGTTTTATGTTGCCTCTACATATTTGGCTCTTGAGATTTCCTTACTTCTTTATGAGTTCAGTAATACAGTGGAAAGAATTTTCAAAATATATTGCCCTGTTATTTCTGAAGTTGAAGAATTCCCAGGGGGTCTAACAGCCACAATAATGGAGATTTTTCTGCTGCTTGTGCAAATACATCTGGGGAAATAACTAAAACGCTTATGCATTTAAAAAACAAACAGCCTGAGTAGTCTTTGTAAATTTAACAGGTTTATAAGCTGAGAGATGGCATGTGATTCCGTATACAATGAGGGAGGGAGCTGTTTTAGGGATCTCTGGGATTAAAATGTAAAATTTTCATCTCATTGATATTGTTATATATCATTTAGTTGTAAATTACTCAGAGCTGGTTTTCAGAGGCTGTAAACTGCATGGGAGGAGACTGACCATCTTTCTTCCACGGAGCGGCTAGTGGGTTCAAACCACCTGCCTTTGGGTTGGCAGCATAACTCCTAGCCACTAAGCTATCAGAGCTCCCACATTTAATTGATAGAGTGGAAAATTCTTTTAGGATTTTTAATTATAATTAATCTCAGTTTTCCCCCTACCCATGGGTGTCTCAGTCAGGGTCTTCCAGGACTGAGGGGACCTGATGTGAAGAAAGTTGTTAGAACCATAACGGCCACTAGCCCCTGAACATGAACCCCTTTCATTCTCACAATAGTCCTGTTTTCAGATACCATTGGTACATCCATTTAAAAAAAAATAGCAGAACAGAGAAGTAACTTCAATTCACAAGCATATGCTAGTTGACACAGCCAAGATTCAAAACAAAGGAGCTACATGTTCTTAGTATCTACATCATTCTGCCTAAAACTACAGAGCTGACAGATTGACCTACAATCTGTTTTCAACATTATTTTAACCAGACAAAGGGTCATCTACCATGAATATTCAGGGAGGGACCATCTGTTGGGAGCATTACTAGGAAAAAGTAAAAAATAGTCCACAGGAGTATTTGGCCAACCACCCTAGAGATGCTCCTTAAGTGCTGCTTTGATTAAAAAGAACATTACTTACCAATAAGGCACAAGCATCTGCAAACATCAACATGTAAAATACATTGTTCCATCCAGAGGGGGATATGAGCCCAGCCAGCAAAGGTCCTAAGGCTGCTCCTAAAATGTGGTAAATGGACATATGTGGTGTCAAAGGAAAATACAGCACATGGTGTTTAAAGTATCCAACCCCAGCAAAGACCTAAAAGATGCTAAACATATAACTTTTAAGGAAAGAAAACGTTAAGTTCCATTCTCAACTATCAGATTCTAGGGGTTAAAAGGAGTAAAACTGCTTGGTATTAGTCAGGGTTATAATTAGTTCAACCCTATTCTGCAACCAAATCTACAAATATTTTCTGGACTAAATCAAAAAGAGATTCAATGAATGACATTAAACTATTCACTCTTTTGATCTATTTCAATTCCTTAACAAATTATTATAAAGGAATAAATTTATTATTAAGAGATAGTCTCCAAAATTTGTGTATGTTTTCATATTGAGTGTGTTATTAATATTGTTTTGGATGCAAGAGTGGCATCCACTTCCTAAACAACATGCCTCCGGAAACTCTATGAACTTTGATAAATTATGATGAGAGAGAGACAGAAAGAGAGAGAGAATATATAGGAGGAAGAGGGAAAGAACAAAGTGAGGATGAAAGAAGAAGAGAAGAATATGAATACTTTGTACAATGAATTTTCTGAATTCTTTGTACTGTCTTAACCCTGTTAGAAGTCTGAAATTATATCTGACTAACTTTTTAATAACTAAAACTAGAAGAAACAAAATACTCTGGGGGGGGGAATCCCTCAAAAGTAGCTAATAAGAATGTTCATTGCAGTGGTTTGGTTATTTTTTTCCCCTCATAAGGTTTGCTTAAATGATAATGTATTTGTAGATGGTTTTTTGGTTTGGCAGATGTGTAATAATACGTGTGAAGGAAGAATTTCTATACCAAATTATTAACTGAGGTTTAATTTCTAAGGCATAAGATTATTAGAGCCTTCATAATTTATACATTCTGGGTTTTTCAGAATTTTACCAAAGTACTTAATTACTTTTATAATATGTGTGTGCATGTGTGCCTCAGAAGAACTTTCAGACAAACACGGTAGACTACTGATAAGTGTTGATCTCTATACCTCCCAGACATCATGAAATGGATCATAAGTTGAATTTTTAAAATTATCAGTCCACAAAAAGAGGCACATGCCTTTGGACATAAGTTCCAGTTTTCCCTCCTCTATTAAAGTATTCTCAAAGAAAGGTGGTGTAGGGACTCGGCTCAGAGCCAGAGTTGCCCAAACACGTGGCAGATGGGGAAGAGAAGACTGGGGAAAGTCTTGGCAGAAAAAGGGGGATGTTCGCTGAGTCCCTCAGATGTTTCTTTTACTTCTCACTTCTCAGGTTTTCCTACTCAAACTCATTAATCTAGTGATCACCTCAATCTGAACCTCATAAAAGAAAATGGACTAGCAGGCCCTTTTATTATTGGATGTCATCAGGTTATTATCAGATGTCACTGAGTCACCTAAAACGCACAGCAGCCGTGTGAAAGACTGACTGAACCTTGATCTGACCCTTGACTTACCTGGTGCCATCCTCACAATCTTTGATACGCTCAAACCCACTGTGGTCATATGTCAATCCATCCTTTTGAGGATCTTCCTCTCTTTCTCTGATGCTCCACCTTTCTTAACTTGGTGTCTTTTCCCACGTACTGAGCCCCTTTGACAACATGCCATAATATGTGAGATGAAGCTTCGCCTGCCAGCCGTTAAGGAGCACCTTTGTCACACTTCCTCCAAGGCGGACTTGTTTGCTCTTTTGGCATTCCGCGGGATATCCAGGACGCTAACAACAGAGTTCACCAGCACCGATCCATCTTCAGTCTCCCTGACTCATTGTCCAACTTTCAGAGGCATACATAGAAAGTAATGTGAAATACCAAGGCTTGCATCAGGTGCACCTTAGTCTTTCATTAGAAGTCAAAAGATTCATTTTTTTCAATCAAGTTATCTACAATTACCAGTTGATAAGAATGCATTTTTGTCTTTGTAGCCCTCTTCTGATTTATCACTTTGTTGACAATTGGATGTCTTTTCATTTCTGAGGACAGTGGATATCGTCAACTTCTCTACATTTTTTTCATTCTCTTTCAAACTGCTGATTGCTTAGCCGTCTTTATGGAGAGTAGACATAAATCCTTTATTTATTAAACCAGTTAGGTTTAGAGAAACTGAGTAAACTCTTTTTTTTTTTTTTTTAGGATTTCCTCTTCATTTCCACGTGTCATCATAAGAATCCAACCTGTATACAGAATTCAATTTCACAGGCAGTAAATCCTAATAGAACTTGGACTTTTACATATGCAATGCCTCCAAGCCAACTGTGTCTGCCGCTATAGCTGCCTCTCCATTTTCCCCTCCTTCCCTTTAATGTGACCTCGTGCATACTAAGTTCAATACAGGGCAGATGTGAAATGCCTGACTGAGTACAGAGATAGCCAGGAAAAGCTCTCTGCATGTACCATGTACTCTCTCTCCCACGATGAGGAGGTTGCTGGGGATGGGAGGAGCACATCCTCAGGAAAGCACAGGCGTCTTCTCTTGATCTCAGATTCCAAATACCACCACCGTGATGACCAGTGAGTAACATATCCTCCCATGCAGAAAGAACTTTTAATACATGCTTAGTGTTTCACCTTTAAATATGAAAATATGACAGTTGACCAAGATTTACCTTATGCCTCAGGAAAGTCCTAATATGAAAACAAATAAACTAAGAGAAGAGGTGGTGAGGAAGGAGAGCAGCAAATCTAATCAGAGAGAAGAAAATTTTAAGGAATTATATCCTCAGAGACACTGTAGAAAATCAGATTAAATCATATGAAACTTCCATTTCTGAAATGGAAGACCAGTCTAATATTGGTATTTCATATGACTCAACGTACACTGTATCTAAGACATAATAATGAGATGCACTAAAAGAGCAGAAAAAAAAATCTAATGAACTTTAGAAAATATGAAGACTGAAATAAAAAGTTCAATACAAAGATTGGAAAACAAAATCACACAATTCTCTGAGGAAATAAGAGAACAGAGATGGACAGGAAGATGGGAGGAAAAAAATGAAAGGATTAACCAAGGAAGTCTAGCACTTCAGTGATAAGTATCCCAGAAAGAAAACACAAAAGATGGCAGGGAAAACATAGTACAGAAACAATACATTTCCCAGAAATTAGAGGTATGTCTTTGTAGACTGTAGAACCATGTTCTCAAAACACAAATGAGTCAAAGGCGCCAGGGATAAACAAACGATGCCAAATGATTTCTAAGAAGAGATTGCTGTTGTTGATTGTCATCGAGTTAAGTACGACTCACAGGGACTCTATGAACAAAAGACCTAATGCCTTTCCATAATTATCACCGTTTCTCCAAGTTCTTAAGAGTTTCCAGATGGTTTAGGAAGTGGATGTCACTCCTACTTCCAAACCAGTTTTTCAACTGGGAGCTCCACCAAACACTGTCCACACTGGGAAACTATTAGGGTATTTGATACCCCAATGGTATAAGGTTCAGCATCACAGCAAACCTAGGTTACTTCATACAGAACATTGACAAAAAGTGATGTACAAAGTGGAAGAAAGTACCTCCAGATATAACTAGTCTCATTTAGCAGTGGTTAAGTGTCACCAAGTCGAATAAGGCTCAGCGACCCTTGCACAAAAGACTTGAAATCTGTTCTATAACTAACATCATGTCTGCACATTTATAGAGTTTATAGAGTTTCCAAAGGCATGGAGTTTAGGAAGTGGGTGCCAGTCCTGCTTCCCAACCTGAATCAATCTGGAAGCTCCTCCAAACATCCAAACATTGCACATGATGGGTAATCATTATGGTAATTGACATGACTCTGGCACAGTGTTCAGCATCACAGAAACTCCAAGTTATTCAGAGAAAAGAGACAAACAATTGCTCTATCACTTAAAGAATATTCATTCTTAGATTTTAAAGACAGACCATTAAGCAGGCCTCCACCCTTGGTCAAATTTCAACTGACACCTGTTTGCGGGGAGGAAACTCCAGAAACACACATCAAACACAATCCCAAAAATTTCCCTTACATGACGGCCATCAAGACATCATCAATAAAGACCAGGGCTGAGAATAACAATGGAATTCTCGATGGTAGCAATGGAAGTCGGAAGCCATTAGAATTCAAAGGAAGGAGATTTTCCCTCTATAATCCTATATCGGGACAAACTGTCCATCAGGTGAGAGAATAGAGTGCAGAAACCACAAACTTATAGGCTCTCAAAATTTATCTCCTGTGAACAGGCTCTGATGGTCTAGTGAGTTGCACTGCCAACTCAAAGACAGGGGGTTCAAATTCACCAGCTGCTTCATGGGAGAAAGATGGGCAATCACCTTCTCTGTGATTTACAGCCTCAGAAAACCTGCTGAAGGGTCATGAGTCAGCTCTAACTTGACAGCAATAAGTTGTTGTTGAGCTGTGAATCACTACAGAAGAAGCTTCTAGAAGATGCAATCCACTATAGAAGAAGAGTAAACATGGGACCCAGCAAACAAGGGTCCAGTGTAGAAAAGAGATTTGGAAGCTAGTAGTGAAAGCAAGGTCTGGAAGAGTGCCATGCAGCAGTGGTCACAGAGGTCCCCCATAGGAAGGGGAAAGAACATTGGGGAAGAAGTCTAATGTTGACACAGAGGAGGAAAACAGCTGTGACACACCAAAGCAAATGAAAGAATGAAAATGTGTCTATTAGAAGATAAATAAAGTTTGTTTCTTGGCTCAGAAGTAGACAATATTATTGATGATGAGAGGAAGGAAGGTTACGGAAGAGCTCAGTCTCCACTTTCTTTCATTGAAAGGCAATAGATAATGTGTGTGTGTGGGGGGGAGGGGGATTCAAGAACTGAGAAACATTTAACTTTGTCAGTAATACCATTTTTTTTATCACACCACCCCAAGGGTGGTTGGGCCTCTGTTTTAGGGCACCTTTGACCTAGCAGTCAGGCTTTTTTAATCACACCACCCCTTTGAGTCTTCAGGCATGTTGACACTTTGCTGTGATGGTAATACCCACATCCAGGAT